TATGTTGCTGGCTTGCTCCACGTCACACACAGCCATGTGAAAGGCCATACCGGATGCCTTGGCAACGAGCTTTGCGATGCCCTTGCCAAACAGGCTCGGCGTCTTCCTCTAGAGGACAATGCCTTCTGTCTTCCGGAGTGGCCACGCCAATGGGCGCAACATCCACTCCGCGATTGGGCATGGGCAACGTTGCCCGGGCAAGGAGACCTTCCCAACCTGTACTGCTTTGGTGTCGAGGCTAGTCTTGGGCAAACTCAACCCAATACGGTAGCCTGCAGTCCTACTTTTGGCATCACAGAATGCCATTTGCCCCCTGCACAAGTCAGCTATGTCTTTTCCTGTGTGACTCTCAATGTTCTCACACTTCGGGAGCCACGACCTCACAGAACAGGCAATAGCACCGGCCTACAGCTCACAGGGCGGAAAGATATGCTTAAGGCCTCCCTCAAGCCCTTTGAGCCGCTCTTCGTAGGACTGCAGGAAACACGCCTCCCGGAGTCCTCCATCCAGGCCGATTCGGAATATCACATTTACAGCTCAGGAGCTACGGCTGCAGGCACAGGTGGATGTGCGCTATGGATAGCCAAAGATATGCCGCTCTACACAGAGGGCAGTCGTGCAGTCACGGTGCATCCCAATGACGTCACGGTTGTCAGCGCCTCGGCTCGACATCTCGCCGTCAATCTTGTGACCCCCAGGCTTCAGTTGCACATTCAAGTCGTTCATGCACCTTCTGCAGCCTCCGTGCCAATCCAGGAATGCCAGGATTTCTGGAATGAGCGTGCGTGTGAATTACTGCGTCGCCCGGAAGGGGCGGACTTTCTGATTTTATGTGATGCCAACTCCCGCTTGGGTGATTGCACGTCTGAGCTTGTTGGAGATCACGATGCAGAGCAGGAGGGGCCCGCCGGAGAGGTTTTCCATGCATTCCTAGTCAAGGTTGGTGCGCTTGTACCCTCCACATGGAGCCAGTGGCACCAGGGCAGCTCACACACTTGGTGCTCTCCTTCGGGTACTTGGTCGCGCATTGACTACGTTCTGGTTCCCGACTCGTGGCGACACACTGTCCTTGTATCCCGTACGTTGCCACAGGTCGAGTTGCTGCAGATGCGCGAAGACCATCTCCCCGCACACCTGCTTTGCGCTTTCACGCGCTCATTACCACCCAACTTTTACAGACGTAGTCAGAAGAATGTGTTGCGACCTGATCGGAACGATCTTTCGACTGAAGATCTCATTTATTTTTCCGTCTCAACACCGCCCCAGCCGTGGACATGTCCGGTCGACGAACACTATTCCAAACTTGTTGGGGATTGGCATGAGTTTGGCGCCACTGTTGCACGTGATCGCCCCTCCCTTCCGCGTCAGCCATACCTCACAGGAGGTACCCTCGACTTGATTCAGGAAAGAAAGGTGCTCCGGCCCGCCCTCAAGCAGGAGGCTCAAGAGCGGCGGTTGCGCTGGTTGATAATAGGATTTGGCGCTTTCATCCTTCATGGACGCGGGGATTCCTTCAATGCAGCCCAGCTCATGCTTGCCGACGGATGGCTACGCCCAGCCGACCGCAACGAAGCGGTTGTCGTTGCGAATTACCGGCGCACCACCTTTTCAATTCGTCGCGCCGTTGCCGCCGACAAAGCAGCACATGTCCAGGTCCTTGCTGACGAGCTTGCTGCTCGTAACATCCAGGATCCTAAATCTCTGTACCGAGCTCTCCGGCGAATTTTCCCATCTGCAAGAGCTGCCAGAAGAGCGACTCCTCGAGCACTGCCCATGCTTCAATTAGAGGATGGCACCACCGCCACCACTACCTCTGAAAGAGCGGAAGCCTGGAGACGGCATTTCGCCTCACAGGAAGCTGGCAAACTCGTCACGCCTGACGAGTACATCGAAGACCTCCAGGATTCCCGAGTGCTCCCCTGGAGCCTTGACATGCGGGTTCCCCCTACGCTCGCCAAGATAGAGCAACTCATCATCACTGCCAAACGGGGCAAGGCGGCTGGGCCGGACGGTATTACTTCAGAATTGCTGCAACTCAATGCTCCTGCAGCTGCGAGACAGTTGTTACCAGTATACCTCAAAGCCACACTCCGTGCCTACGAACCGGTCGCCTTCAGGGGCGGTGATTTGTGCTGCCTCGCGAAACGGGCTAGCCGAGCCCTGACGTGCGAGGCTTTTCGCTCTATACTCATCTCTTCGGTACCAGGGAAGCTGCTGCATCGCAATCTCAGAGAAGTCCTTAAACCGCTGCTCGTCGATTCTCAGCCCGCCTTCCAATCCGGTGTTGCGGCCGGGCGGGGCATTGAAGGAGTCGCACTTGCGGCAAGAACATTCTTTGCCATGTCTACTGGCAGGGGATCGTACGCAGCACTAGTGTTCTTTGATTTGCAGGCGGCTTTCTATGGAGTTCTGCGTCAGACTATTGTGCCACATGTTGACGACGACTCCAAGCTGTTGAAGCTGTTTCATGATTTGCGACTGCCTGCTGTCGCCATCGGCGAACTTCGGACACACCTTGAGTCCATGGCTCAGCTGCCACTACTCGGAGCCTCTTCCCACGCCATTGCAATGGTGCAAGACTTGTTTCGGGGTACGTGGTTCAGACTCTCGGGATTCCCTGACCTCACCTCTACTAAGAAGGGCTCCCGCCCCGGCGACCCGACAGCAGATCTGATCTTTGGTTTCAGTCTTGCTGCTGCACTTCAGGCCATACAGCACCGCCTGCGTGAAGAAGGTTTGGACCCGCAGCTGCCATGCAAGCAGCGTCCCGACTGCATTGATTTCGAGGGGCCACTTCAGCTGGGCCAGCCTGCATGGGCAGATGATTTCGTCGCTCCTCAAACCGGTTCCAGTCCTGTTGATCTGGTTCAGCGCACTGGGGATACAATCCGCACCATTGTTGACTATACAACTTCTGTTGGCATGACAGTCAAGTATGGCCGGGACAAAACTGCAGCCCTGTTCCCTCCCGCGGTCCTACGTGCTGCCGTCGAGCTCTTTGGGCAGGATGACCAAGGACAGCCATGCTTGGTGCTGCACAATGCGGTCAGCCAGACCGACTACCGCGTCCCCATTGTCGAATCCTATCGACATCTTGGGGGTATTGTCACTTCCACCAGCACGCCGGTCCCGGATCTACATTTCCGCTACGCGCAAGCGGCTGGGACTGTTAAGCCTCTGCGCAAAAAGTTCTTCAGCGCCAGCGAGTATCCACTCGCCACCCGAGCATACATTCTTCGCTCGCTGGTGGTATCGAAGTTTGCTCATTCGGCATCTGCCTTGATACTCAATGTGGCCTGCCATGCGAGAGTTTGGGAGCAACACTATCTCGCACTATGGCGGACGTTGTTCCGTCGCAAATCTGCTTCCGGACAGAAGCATTGCTACCGGATGCTCCACGAGGCACAGGCTACATCTCCTACTCTTGCTCTTGCAAGTGCCCGGGCTGGCTTTGTTGCCCGCCTCTTTAAGCATGGCCCCAGGGAGCTGGTAGCACTGCTTTGGGACCATTGGGCCGTGCAGCCTCGAACTGCCTGGTTGGCACAGCTGCGGGAAGATGCTGCACTGGTAGCTGCCCATTTGCCTTCCATCACTGGCATTTTGGGCACAGATAGCGTGCTAGGCTTGCTTGAGGCATACAGGCAGGACCCGACCTGGTGGCCGAAACAAGTCAAGCTTGCCACCCGGTCGTTCCTAGAAGACGTCAGCACATGGGTTGCTACAGGCCAGGACACCGTCAGTTGCAAGGTTCTGCAGCCGCCTGCCGGTAACGAATACACTTGCTACCTGTGTCCAGCCTCCTTCCCTCTACGTAAGCACTTGCACACGCACCTTGCCAGGGCACATCAAGTGTTTTCCCCCGCGCGTCATTACGCGACTAGTGAGACCTGCGTTTCGTGCCATAAGGTGTTCCCGAATATCCTGCTGGCACAGCAGCACCTCAAACGATCAGATGCATGCCTCCTCAGATGCCTGCACTTACACCGCCCCCTGACATGCGACCAGTTTCGTCAGCTGGAGGCCTCTGCGACAGCACAGAGTCGCAAAGTCCGACAGGGTGGTTGGCGGCATTTCAGCGGCATAGCTCCATCTGCGAGAGCTCCTTTTGCATTCGGACCCAAGCTCCCCACCACTGCCGAAAAGTTGGCACACCGCGGCAGCGAAGACGAGGAGTCCGATCTCCTCTCCACCCTTTCACGTGGATTTCACCCGGAACCGGCTCACGTTGTGTGGGTCACCGACTTTGTGCAGGGGCGCAGCTGTGAGCAGGCACGCACCACCGCACACCGTTTCTGGATGCAACGTCCACGGGTCTCGCAGATCTCCGATGTTTCACCTTTTTCGAATTTATAGCACGATTTTTGGGACGCACCACGTCGCGCCACAACACGTGGCCTGTGGAACGAGAGTCCGCACAGACAGACAGACAGATTATGGGTAATGCAGGATTTATATCATCAACCGTACGGGCCTAACGACTCGGGCTGTCAAAGAGTCTTGAGAGGTCCTGGGGTTTTCAAGCTTGGGGCTTTAGGAAACTTGAAGGCTTTAGGGTTTAGGGTTTAGGGTTTAGGGTGTTCTATGTGCTTAAAGCTTGCAGGGCTTGCTGTTGTCTATGGTGTGGTTCTACGTAAGGTTCAGGGTCTTGGACGAAGATATCCTTAACAAGGGGCCGGACTGGTTTGGGTTTAGAAAGCATCTTGACTCTCACTGAGGCTGCACGAATTTATTCGGAGTCAAAGGAAGCTTTGCGGCCCACAAGCTCTTTTTTACCTGAAACCTTGAACTTAGACCCGGACTTAGATCAAACCCTCAAAGCCCACAAGATCTTTCGACCCCAAATCTTGAACCCGTGACATCCTAAACCCGATTCATTCTAAACCAAGAACCTCAGTCCAAACAAGAAGCCGTAGACCCTAAACCCTAAACCCCTAAAGCCTAAACCCTAACACCGACACACCCCGCACCTCAAATCCCAAAAATCCCCAAGACAAAGCGACCCTCGCAGGCTGTGGCTGCGCCGGCGCTTGGGGAAGCCTGGGAGATCCCTTTAAGAGCCTTTTTCGGGTAACATAAGGGCCTCATTCGTTAACGGTATACTATCGAATGAGACCTCGAAGAAAGGAGGTGTAACAGGCAATAATGATAAGTATTCATGCTCGTATATCACTCTATTGAAACAACTTCTCAGCCTGAAGTTTTTCGTGCAAGCTCTATATGGCCTTGGTTTCTGGCCCCAAGTTCTAGTGCTTGGGGGTTTTGGGGGTGGCGGGTTTCGGGTGAGAGAGAGAGAGAGAAAGCTTGCTTTGCTTCTAGTGCCTAATCATGTCGAATGCTTTTGCGCATCAACGGTGTGATGGACCCCGTTCCTGGGTTCTTGTTAAAGGGTTTTGTTCAAGTTACCATAGTATGGATCTATAGTACATAATATCTATGGCTTCTTTATCATGGTAACTTAAATTAAATCAAACCCTTATCAAGAACCCCGGTTCTTGATCAGCTGTCACCTCACCACGTCGTGCCGTCGAAGTCTAGATGTGCACGGCTGACAGACATAACCTGAAGGAGGCCAAGCTCCGGTCCAAAAAATGGACGCAGTAAAGTGGCTCTGTATGCTTCATCTTGCTTCGGCTATACTTCTCATAGAGATCCCAAAACTGCGGAATATGGCCGATTGGGTGTAGATTCCAATGGTTCGCGTCCGAAAGAATCTCACAGCGCTCGATCGGCATCCAGGGCTTTACCGGGCCGAAGAAATTGTAGCTCTTCGTCATCCGCGTGTAGTCAGACTTCTGCAAAGTTCGGAAAGATCGCCGAATGACGCTATACTCTGTGAATAAGAGTCCCTTGTCGCCTTCGGCACCTAGAAAGTCCCATCTTGAAGTATTGCGATCTGCGCAATATGCCTTGGACTCCCATCCAGGATCGTCGCCTTCGTGGCTGGCTACCCATAGGCCAAAAATCGTGAACCCTTTCAGGTATGGTAGGATTATAGGGTTGGTGATATAGATGCGGAATTACCCTTAACAAGGAATATAACTACCGTAACTCCCGTAGTTTAGGCTCCTTAAGGTAATGCAGGATTTGTATCATCAACCGTATCAACCTTAAAAGGTAGAAGGCTACCTACAAAACAAGTAGTGAATTTATAGGGACCCTACAAAACAAGTAGGTTTGGGTAGGTTAAGGTTCAGGTATGGCAGGATGATATGAACTTCAGAGGGTAGAAGGTTACCTACTCAGCTGCAAAGTGGGAGTTTCCGAAAATGGGGGATCCCCAAATAGTACCCGAAATCGTAGAATCCTTATTATAAGGACCCCAAATAAGGTACCCCAAATTCTCGGAAACTCCTACACCCTTATAGAGCCCTTTAAAGGAACCTTCATAGTACCCTTATAGTAACCCTTTAAGGGAACAATAAGGTACCCCTTGTTTTTGGAAACTCCCAAACCTTAAACCCTAAACCCTTTATACAACCCTCACAGATCTCTTTAAGGAACCCTTAAAGGATCCCTTTTAAGGTACCCCTTGTTTTCGGAAACCCCCAAACCCTAAACCGTTTATAGAACCCTCACATCCCTTTCAGGAACCCTTAAGCGATCCCTTTTAAGGTACCCAACCCTAATTTTCGGAAACTCTAAATCCTTATAGAGCCCTTTAAAGGAACCCCTATAGTACCCTTATATCAACACTTTAAACAAGATACCCCTTGTTTTTGGAAACGCCCAAGTCGCAATTCAAATGCCAGCCCTATGACCCCCGAAATAGTAGGATTCAAACAAGGACCCGAATCAAGGCCCAAGGTTTCTTAATCAGGTTCCTACATTACCCAGCTGCTAAGTCGCAATTCAAATGCCAGCCCTCTTGGCCGATCCTCAAATCCCGCAATCCCCATCCTCTCTCCGGTGTGAAGCCGGTCGACAGCATATCCTGGGTCTGGTTCCTTTAAGGCCTCCTTTAAGGGATCTATAAGGTTTTCAAGGGAAATCATAGGGTTTTTTGGTCCTTGTCAAGGCATTTCGCTTAAGCTATTACATAATGGAAACCTATAGGCTATAGTAAATACTATGGTTTCTTTACTATGGTAACTCAAACGAGTCCCTATACCCTTAAAGGAACCCTTACAGATCCTTTACAGGAAGCCCTTGTGTTTCCTTATTATGGTAGCTTAAACAAAAACCCTTCAACCTTCAACAAGAGCCCAGTATCCATCATGTCACTGAAAGCCTCCTGGCTCGGCTTGAGGATGAAATTCCCAACCGCCAAGGGCGCATGTAGGCAGCGATAGCTCAGAAACTCCACACCTCGGAGTCCCTAAACCCTAAACCCACAACCCTAAATCCCTAAATCCCTAAATCCCTAAATCCTTAAATCCCTAAATCCTTAAATCCCTAAATCCCTAAACCCTAAACCCTAAACCCTAAACCCTAAACCCTAACCCCTAAATCCCTAGGGGTTGAGAGTTGAGGGCCAGTCTTCGTGTTTCGGCGCTTTCTGTAGAGTTTAAGGGATCCATAATAAGGACTCCTTTAAGGGATCTATAATGGCTCCTTTAAGGAATCTATAAGGTACCATAAGGGTTTAGGTTTAGGGTTTACAGTAAAAGCCCAAAAGGTGGAAACCCAATAGCCTCAATCCTTAAGAGTGATGTATAGGGAATCCCAGCACTATTTGGCCTTAACCTGGTTTCCAACTTTTTGGGGTTTACTATAGGGGCTGAGGATTGAGGGTCCGCAAGTTTGACTAGGGACTCCCGTGATCCCCCTAAGTCCTCAAAAGATCAACGCCCGCAATTCCCAGAAGTTGCCCCCACCTTCTGCCATCGTGTCCTCAATAGTTTCCAAGTCTGGGGGAGCATAAAAGTAAGCATCCACGTCCAAGAAGAAGATGGCTTCGTAGTCCGTCAGTGCAGCAAGCCCAGCCTTTAAGGTGCTGGCCCTCAGTTTGAAGAACGACGCCTGATGATCGGCATGGTAAGGCGTGCTTAGGTCGAACTTGTCGAACTCGTAGAAGCTTGTCAGGTTGGTGTGGAGCACTCGTATACCCATCTCCAAGAGATAGGAGACATTCTGGCCTTCAATACCATCTTTGTGACACTGCAAAGCCGACAGACGAAGCACATCACGACTCCAACATCAACGCAACAAAGAGTCCTATGAGCTCAGAATCAGCATTCAACAAAAAAGTGGCTGTCTAGGCCAACGGCCCTAAACGCCAAGGCCCTAAACCTTACGCCCTAGACCTTGAAGGCAAGCCGCCTCAAACCTGCTAAACCCTGATATAAAGGCCTTAAGAATTAGAACAGGGCGGGGTATACTATGTTATACAGACACATAGAATAAGGAACCCCCAAAATAGTATCGGTAATTATTCAGGCCCTTATTTATTAAACCCTAAACCCAGTCGCTGTCCATGCCATCGGTTAGCACCACCGCATCCACCGAAGCACCTGGACCGGCTGCCTCTTGCAGGAAACTCCTGCACGCTTCGCAGGGCTTAGGGTTTAGGCTTTAGGGGTTTAGGGTTTAGGCTTTATAGGGGCTTAGGGTTTAGGCTTTAGGGATTTAGGGTTTAGGCTTTATATGTGCCAGCATCCGCGCACCCCCCCCCCCCCTCCCCCCCCCATGGTAATCCCCCTCCCCCCCCCTGTGGTTCCTGTGGTTCCCCCCCCCCCTGTGGTTCCTCTTGGTTTTCCCCCTCCCTTTTGTGGTTCTTCTGGTTCCTGTCTCCCCCCTCCCCCCCTGTGGTTCCTGTGGTTCCTCCGCGTGGTTGCTGCTGCTTTGTTGTTGCTGCTGTTCTTCTTCTTGTTCTTGTTCTTGTTCTTGTTGTGTGGTCGCCCGGGTCGGGGGGGGGGGGATACCATTGGGGGGGGGGGGGGGGGGGGGGTCGAGAACGCGGAGCGCGGGCACATATAGGGGCTTAGGGTTTAGGGGGCTTCGGGCTCAGTGTTGTGGGGGTTACCGCTTAGGTCTCAGTGTCTTAGGGTTTAGGGTTTAGGGCTCAGTGTCTTGGAGTTTGGGGTTTAAGGCTCAGTGCATGTTTTTAAACCATATTAGGGATTTCAAGGCTTTTCGGGTGGGATTTGGGCTTCCGCAAAAAATGGGGAAACCCCAAAGCCTTACACTCCAAAGGGCCTCCAATTGCTGAGATCTTATGATAAGAGCATGTAGGCAACACTGGAAAGATGTCGAGGTTCGGATATGGCGGTCTTAACGACCAACAACTATGGGGTTTGGGGTTGGGACGCAGCGAAATTGGGAGACATTAAAGCGTAGTCTTCCGGGGCTTGTAGTACTAGTAAATAGGTCCTGCTCGCGTGGGCACTGGCAGCCAGTGCGCAAACGCCCCGTCCGTGCGCATAGGGTCCCACGAAGGATCCCGCCTTCAGGGTTTAGGGCTTGGGTTTAGGGTTCGGGGTTTACCCGAAGTACTGTCGCCTTTTAAACGCCGACTGGAGCCTACACAATCAAATCTTACAGCACAGACATTCGTAGTATTTAGAGTTGAAACAGGGATTCAGAAACTTTTTACCCTAGACCCTAAACCCTGCGCTCTAAACCCTACACCGGCCTTCATCGACCAGCTTTGCCCCAAGAAGAAAATCGCTGGATCGGACCAGACCTTCGTTTCTTGCGGGTGATTTCAACTAGGTTCCTGAGTAGCCCCTTCGTAATATGGGAGTTTCCGAAAATAGGGGACCCTAATATAGTACCCCAAATAGTAGGATCCCTATTATAAGGACCCCATAATAAGGGACCCCCGAATGTAGGTAAAATAATGGCCCAAAACCTATAAAAAGGCCATTATTCTACACACTTCTGGGGTCCAGGTTCGGTATATGAGTAACCTTTTCCTAGTGTTCTAGTTTAGAAAAGGGCCCAACAATAGAAAGGGCAACAGGGTACGACTCAGGAACCTAGAAAACGAAGCCTAGTGTAGCACACTGCTCCTGAAGGAACGCCATTGATCACAGATCGCAAACTAAGTCTTCGAGCTACTATTTGCTTAAGAACCCCCCCCCAAAAAAAATAAAAATATATTCCTTATAGGGATAATATAGGGATTATCATTGCTTATTTTTTGGGGGTTCTTAAGCAAATAGTAGCGAGGAGCAGTGGAAGAGATTGAGCTTAAGGCTTAAGTTTAAAGGTTTGGGGTTAAGAGGTCCCGGTGGTAGGCCTTCAGGGTCGGGCCATGGGCCAGTTGATAAGTCAGAACCCAATCTTAATCTTTACTAATATGAGTATATCTATACTTATAGACGTGTGTATACATGATTTCTTCTATTTGGTACTAGTAGATATCGTTTAAATGTTGTATCACGTACGACATACGATATACTATACGCTACAGTACTATGTACATATCTCGGATTATATATGAAGTCTCGTTAAATCCTAAAGCACTGGCCCTAAACCCTAAGCCTCGAACTAAACTCGAAACCCTCAACCTCTTATGCCCAGCAGCATAAGCCACGGCGAACCTCTTGATACCAGCGGCCGCACTCAAATGTGCCGGCCTCCGCCACTCCCAAATCGCAGCTCCAGCGGCCATGCTTGTCAGACCTGGCGTTTAGGGGCGGGCCTCAACAAGTAGGACAGGGTTCTTCGTGGGTTGCAGTTTGCAGGTGTTTATGGCGTAGAACGATTAGAATAGGGACGGATCGGAGGTGGTTTATTGGATAGCGGCCCGCACAATGAGAATAGGGCTTTGGGGTATGCTATGGCATGAAGGAATATACAAGGACCCATAACAATTAGAGTAGGGTTTTGGTGCCCATTATACTATAGTTATAATCAACCCCCAACATAGTATAGGCAATTATTAAGGCCCCTATGCTAAATCCTTATATCAAGCCTTAAGGTAACCCTTATAGACCCCTTCAAAAGGAACCTTAAATATCAAGGCCCCTATACTAGTATTGCGTTCTAAGTCTTCTTTCCTTCATATCAGATTCTCAAACTTTGAGGCCCGGCAATCAAGGCATATGATACGCCAAGTAGTAAGGTTCTAGATCCCCAAATCCATACTACGGTTGATGATATAAATCCTGCATGACCCATAATAAGGAATATACCATAATTCCCATAGTTTAGCATCCTTAAGGTAATGCAGGATTTATATCATCAACCGTATGAACGGTTTTTGGACATTGAAACCCTACTTCTTGGGTACTTCGACCCTTAGGCAAGGGATCATCATGGCTAATTACCTCTGGCTTTAAGGCTCAGGGCTTGCAGGTTGGAGGACTTGGGCCAAGTTTGGGGGCGTTGGGCGTTGGGTTCCTCGTGCACGACACAATCGTCAGAACTGCGACAAGCGTCTCCTCTCAGAAAGCGCACACCCCAAAGACAAGTCTGTGATGCAGGGGCCATTATATCATAAGTACAGTAAGGAGCCCACAAGACCCTATTCTAACCGTTACTTGAAGGCTCATGGGGCTTAGTAAGTAAGGTTATAAGTAGGTTATAATTAGGGTAACCCCACTCAGGGGACTTATAACCCCAATTATAACCTACTTACTAAGTCCCATGATCCTCTAAGTAGGGCCCCTACTTCTACCCTAAACCCTAAGCCCTAAACCCCTACCCTAAACCCCTAAACCCTAAACCCCTCAACCCCTAAACTCTAAACCCTAAACCGTGGCATTCTACCGTTTAGCGGCCTTCAGGTTCTACTGGAGCCGATGCTCGGCTCTGCCAAAGTGCAACGGCAATGAAAACCTTGGATCCCTGTGGTTTAGGGGTGTAGGATGCTTTAGGGTTTAGGGTTCAGGGTTTAGGATTTCTTGAACGTGTGTGCTCAGCGTTTGGGGTTTAGGTTTCAATTCTTACTTCCGTGGGTTGAGTGGGGTTCGAATATGCACGTGAGACCAAACTTGGGGTGTGGGCTTTCTGGACCATCGTAGATATCAGTTAGAGTAGGGCTTGGGGCATTTCATAGTATAGTTATGTAGGGACTAAGGCTGGATAAAGCCATCAAGTATTCAGCTTAGGTTCAATCTAGGGCCAAGGAGCAGTGATGCAGGCGGCTGCCGGGACAGCCACGCGAACGAAAAAGCCAGGATTCTCGAGGGTTTCGCTGGAGCTGTCGGATGCATTCTCCGCGCAATCCGCGTGCAGTCGTTGGTACACCCGCCGTGCGACACCATGAAGCACGTGAGCCATCGCAACATTGCCAAGGAGGAGCAACGCTGCTAATCAGAGCCGCGTGGAACCATCTTCCAGTAGGGGCCTTAATAATGACCTATACTACTTCGGGGGTTCCATATTATAACTATCGTATAAGATACCCCCAAAAGCCCCTATTAAGATTATTAAGGCCCCCCATATTATGGTACTGTCATGGTATCCCTTAAAGGAACCCTTTAAAGGGAACCCTACTCTAATCGAAAAGGCCCCTCCAGTAGGTGAAAAGGCTTCCAGGTCACGTGAGTCTTGAAGAATCAATGGCTTAAAGCATGCCTTAGCCTTAACCCCAACTTACCTTTGGTTAGTAGGGAATGGAGGAATGGGGTACAATTATAACTACTATTAGTACCATTCTTTGGAAGTGGGGGGCCTGCGCCATGAGCTTACTCGGAGGGGCAGGGGACTTAGTAAGTCGTTCATAAGTAGGGTTATAACTGGGGTGATTCCATTTAGGGTACTTATAACTCTACTTATACCCTACTTACTAAGTCCCCTGCCCCTCCAAGTAGCCTTAACCCCAAGTAACCTACCTTTGTAAATTTAAGGCCTTGTTTAGGGAAATAAACCCAAATAACTTACCGTTTTTAAGGACGTATACAAGGAAATCATAATAGGGAACCTTATGGTCCCCAAGCTTTGCATCCGAAAGCTCCTATGAATGGGGTGCGCGTCTTCCTGGCTTTGCGATTACTTCGTCATCCTATATAGTTTCCGAAAATGGAGGACCCTAGATAGTACCCTAAATGGTAGGTAGGGTCCTTACTACTATAGGGACCCCCCAAGTAAGGTATCCCTAGTTATCGAATCCAGACTTGAGGACTGTCTTTCGCGCACGCGCCCATCTCTTGGACGACAGTCGAGATAAAAGGTGTGGCACCATGGATCATGGACGTTTCCAACTTCCAACAAAGGCAATCAAGCTTTCAAGACGCAGCTTAACAATATCAAAATAGGAACCAAACGACAGTTTCAACATCGGGAACCAACGTGACGTTAATTCGGAATCCAAAAATGACGTAGAATGGCCCAGCCACCATTGCTCACTTTGAGAGTCACACCCCAACTGGACCCAAGACCCTACTGTGTTTAGGGCTTTATAATGCTTGTAAACCTATACTGAACTTAGAACCCTAGCAAAATTAGAATTTTAGCTGTTTCTTGGGATTATGATAACCAAAAACAAAAAATATTTCTGAGTACCCCTAAGAAACCCTAAACCTTACATCCTAGAAGTACTCAACCCCATTCAACCCGGGGCTCCAAAATTGTTTCAATCCAACGCCGGCATATTTGGGAGTTTCCGAAAACGAGGGGTCCCTTATTATGGGGTCCTTATAATAGGGATCCTACTATTTGGGGTACTATATTAGGGTCCCCTATTTTCGGAAACTCATACTTCAACAAATGACAGCAAGCAAACCTGTCTGGAGACAGATTTAGGCGGGCTCTCCGAGCCTCCGATTCGGGGAAAGATCTATCTGAGGATGAAACCAGGGGCCTTTACCCCTGGTTCTTGATATACCTACTATGTACCCTATACATATATATATATATATATATGTACCCTGTAGGGTCTGCCCCAATCACAATCTTTCAGGCTTCTTTTTTGGGGGTTCGGGGCCCGAACCATCGCCGTAAGATCTAAATCTCGGGATTGACCATGAACCCCAAATCACAGCTAGATCCACACCCGAAGCAGGACCGGAAGCGGTGAGCAGCCAAGCTTGAATTTTTCGGAGATGAATTCTAGACCCAAGAGTAGCCTAGGAATAAAAAGGGTGCCCTTTTTGATTTAAAGGAAGTTATAAGGGAACCTGAACCCCCCAAAAAGGGAATAAGGGCCTACTCTAGGTCCTAGAATTGCGAATGCGCCGAGCAATGCAGCTTCTTCTCTTTGCTTTGAGGCAGCTGGACGTGCGTAATTTCAGCATGTGCGGTGTTAAGACACCAAGTTTTGAGGACGCCCCGGCTGAACGCCCAGACGCGACTCCCGAGGATGTAAGAGTATAAAGCCAAGCCTGAATTCAACCCTACTATTCAGGCCCTCATATAGAACCCTATAAGAGACCTCTTTATAAGAGCCCTTTAAAGGGACCCCTACTCGAATCATCAAGGCCCTCATATAGAACCCGATTAGAGACCTCTTTATAACAGCCCTTTAAAGGAACCCCTATTCGAATCATTAAGGCCCTCATATAGAACCCTATAAGAGACCTCTTTATAAGAGCCTTTTAAAGGAACCCCTATTCGAATCATTAAGGCCCTCATATAGAACCCTATAAGAGACTTCTTTATAAGAGCCCTTTACTTTAATATTCGAATCATTAAGGCCCTCATATAGAGCCCTAAACCGCGAAAGCCAAACGGCACATTTCGAGGTGGAGACGTGGTGGAACGTCGGCTTTGGGGCGGCTGGCTTCGGCTGCGCAGGATCGCCTCCTTGGCTTACGGTACCCGGGTTAAATGTTTAGGATATTAGTGTCCAAGCGTAAAAATAGGGACCCTTAAGAAGGACCCCTAGGTATATACCCTTAATATAGCTATTATATACCCATTATATAGCCCATTATAGGGTAGGGGTCCCCATTAAGCGTTTCTCCTTTCCCCCTTGGATAGTAGGGTTCAGGGTGTAGGGAGGACAGCTCAACATCCCTTAGGAAGACAAGGAGTATCCCTGAAATGGCCCCTGAAAGAAAACGACGATCCCTTGAAGGTGCGGGTGCAATGACCACCCCTGATATACGGAAAGATCCCCTGGGCCCTAAACCCTAAACCCTAAACCCTAAAACCCTAAACCCCTAAACCCTAAACCCCTAAACCCCTAAACCCTAAACCCTAAACCCCGAAACCCCTAAACCCTAAACCCTAAACCCTAAAACCCTAAACCCCTAAACCCTAAACCCCTAAACCCTAAACCCTAAACCCCTAAAACCCTAAACCCTAAACCCCTAAACCCCTAAACCCTAAACCCTAAACCCTAAACCCTAAACCCCTCAACCCCCAAACCCCAAACCCTAAACCCCTAAACCCTAAACCCCTAAACCCTAAACCCTAAACCCCTAAACCCTAAACCCTAAACCACTCACAGCGATGCTCGACCATGAGCTTCGTGTCGATAGGGATTTGGGTTTGGGCTTCGGGTTTAGGGGTTCGGAGGATTGGAGGGTTACAGGGTTTTGGGTTAGGGTTTAGGGTTTAGGGTTTAGGAGTTCGGAGGATTGGAGACTTTTCTTGCGAGAGAAGTGAAGCGCTTTTAGGACCCGGGTCCATGGTACTCCGGAGGGTTGTTTCATGGAATCATAGTGTAGAATACCCCGAAGCCCTATTCTACTTCCTAGGATACCCGGTAACCTAAGAATAGAAAGGCCTCTCTTGTTGGTATTGGGTAACTTTATAAGGAACCTAGGACTACAAAAAGGGAATAAGGGTACTACTGGGCATCCGAGCTTCTCATTGGCCCTATCTTGTGGGGCATCTTTAACATCCTGCGCTTTAGGGTTGGAAGGTCGCAAGGAAGTCTCCGGGTCAGGGTTTAGGCTCTGAAGGTTTAGGGGTTATCTACTTTTGCTTAAGAACCACCAAAAAATGAAAAGTATATTCCTTATGGGGGTAATATAGGGATTATTATTTTTATTTTTTGGGGGTTTCTTAAGCAAATAGTAGTTATAGGGATTCGGCCTAACCCCCTATGCACTACAATCCTCATAGCACCAACCCGCTGAACCCAAAAACCCCTGAACCCTTAACCCCTCAACCTCTAAGCCCCTAAAACCCTAAAGCCTTAAATCTCCAACCCCGAAACCCTCAACCCCCTCAAGCCTAAACCCTCAAATCTCAAACCCCCTACAGTAAACCCTTCACCTCTGAACCCTTATACCTCCAACCCCCTAAACCCTTAAATCTCCAACCCGGCAGCATGGTCCGGTCTTAATAGTTACTTGGAGGGGCAGGGGACTTAGTAAGTCGTTTATAAGTAGGGTTATAATTGGGTTAATTCCATTTAGGGTACTTATAACTCTCCTTATAACCTACTTACTAAGTCCCCTGCCCCTCCAAGTAGAATAGGGCTTGGGGGCCCAGTATACTATAGTTAAACAAACCGGAGTTTCCCAAAATACTGTAGGGCTTACCTTACTTGGGGGTCCTTCTCATAGGGGTCGTACTACTTAGAGTACTATATTAGGGTCCCCGATTTTTCGGAAACTCTCAACTACAATAAGGAGCACCCAGAACAATATTGGTAAGATACTCCGGCCTGGTCAGCAGCTGCCTGTTGCGCCCTCCACGCCCATCGAGGCTTCACCTTCTGACCGAGGGGTCTCTCTTTGCTTTGGGGTTTAGGGTTTCGGGGCTTGCAGTAGAAGCCAGAAAGCAAGAACATCAGTAGCCTTATAACCTTAAGCTCAAGTAAAAGGAATCCTAGCATGAATCATCCTAAATCGATGCTCCAACTTTCAGGGGTTCACTATAGGGGTATAGGGTATAGGGGTTTAGGGGTTCAGGGTTTGGTGGGTTTAGATGTTTAGGGTTGGGTTTTTAAAGTTTAGGGTTACGTTCTTGGTTTTGGAAAGAGCGGTTTAGGGTCTGGGCTGGGGGTTTCTAGGTCTTAGAGTTTAGGGAATTGGGTCTAGGGCCGTTCGAACTTGGAACAGCACATGTCTTGCGAGTGTCCTACGCTGATAAAATCTGCTGAGTAAATTCGGAACTGGAACTCAAGCCCGGGACTGGGAATGTGCGGTTTAGGGTTGAGGGTTTAGGGTCGTGAAGTCACGATGTGATCAAGCCTAGAACTTTACACTTCTTACTAAACAGGCTACCATAACCTCATACTTTTGGCAGAAGGCATTTCAGACACAGATACTGTCATATACACATTGAACTGTAGGACGTATGTTCATCTGTTTTTGCACCAGGATTTATCATGGCTGCATGCGGCTTCTTGAGCGTAGATACCAGTAACTCCTTTTAAAGCCCTATGATGCCTTGCAAAAACGCCGTACAAAACAGCCACAAAACCCGTACCAAGCCCTCATATAACCTGATACAGAAATCCCCCTCGCACCCGTCTGAAGGCCTTCTTTTTTGGGGGGATCGCATAGCACCCTTAGGAGACCCTTCTTCTTGCCGAATGCCCGGGGCCCGGCCGTGCTGTGGCCGGAGACCACGGTTGAGACCTCCGTTGCCGTGTCCTGAAACTCCGACGCTGGCTTCCTCGGAGATGTCTCAGGCTGCCTTTAAAGGCCTCCTGTAGGGGTTCACCTTACACCCTATACCCCAGAACTCTATACAGGTTCCTTTCAGTTAAAGGCTCGTGTACTATATCGGCCTTCAGAATTACATAGAATAGGGTTTGGGAGCTCATTATACTATAAGTAGAATAAGGAACCTCTAAGATAGTATTGGTAACTATTTCGGCCCCTTTCTTACTCTACAGGTTCCTTTAAGGGGCCGCGACTTCCTTTAGGGGTCTTGGCTCGGGTGCCAGCTACTCCAGTGCCAGGCTGCCAGCATGCGATGGCCTCTGGAAGTAAAGCTTGCGCATATCAAAGTTTATAAGGGTTTAGGGTTTAGGGCACATATCAAAGTTTATAAGCTAGGATACCCAGTAACCGAAGAATAAAAAGGCCTCTCTTTTTGGTATAGGGTAACTTTATAAGGAGCCTAGGACTACCAAGAAGGGAATAAGGGTACTACTGGGCATCCTAGTCAAAGTTGATAAGGGTGCTGAAAGGGTTCAGAAGAAGCTTCCTCGGAGATATTTCAGGGTTTAGGGCCTAGGGTTGAGGGATATTCAAGGGTTCCTCTCAGGGCTCCGATAAGGGTTCGTTTTTCGGATTCTGAAAGGCTTCCTCGGAGTTGACCAGGGTATGGGTTCAGGGTTCCTTCAAAGAATCTTGACCAAATGTGCGATCTACCAGGAGTCTATAAACAGGGAGATGGATGGACATGACACCTGACAAATGGGTTTGGGGATAATTCGGAAAAGTGCTCCTCTAAGGGATCCCTTGAAGGGGACCCTATTTTAGAACCCTATACTACCCGTCCAGTTAAGGGCGAAGGGACCTTATGTAATCATTAGAATCGGGTTTCGATGTAATTAAAGTATACTACAAATATAGTAAGGGCACCCCCCCCAAAAAAAAAGTGTATGTATGTATATATATATATATATATATATATATATATATATATACATATATATATATAGGTAACTAACAACGCCCCTTGTATTACCCTTCAGAGGAACCTTTAGCGATTCCTTCCTATAAGGCTCCTTTAAGAGAGCCTTTACCGCTCCCGTTCAAAGGAACTCCTTCAATTCCCTTTGGGTGGTTGTCAAAATGTGGGCCCCGTTTTGAGCCCTCATATAGTACGGCATCTAACATTTAGGGTACCCAAAAAGGGAACCCCATTTTGACAACTACCCCTTCTAGGATACCCAGTAACCTAAGAATAAAAAGGCCTCTCTTTTTGGTATTGGGTAACTTTATAAGGAGCCTAGGACTACAAAAAGAGAATAAGGGTACTACTGGGCATCCTAGCCTTTAAAACCCCACGCCGCCGGGAGTCTTCGGCACCCAGCGCAACGTCTTCGGCGCTTCGGCCGGATGCTGCCATGCCTGGATCTTCGAGGACTCTTCGGGGCCTAATACAGGGGCCTTAAAAATTAGAATAGGGGTTTGGGGCCCATTATACTACAGCTATATTAACGAACCCCCAAAATAGTTTTGGTAACTTTTTCGGCTACTATAGTAGGTTCCTCCTCAGGGTTTTGGGCGGGGGGTTTATGGTTTAGGGTTCAATTAGGGGTTTGGGGTTTAGGCTTGGGCGTCATTGGGATTCATGGCTCCGGGATTTTTTGATGTTGGGGTTTTAGGTTTCGGGGCAGGGTTTCGTTTGGGGGTCTGGGGTGTGTTTCTTACTCTTGGCTTTAGGGTTTCAGGTATTTGGGATGTTGAAACTGTAGATTTAGGTGTTCTTTGTTGCATGTTGGGCTTCCCGTCATAGTAGCTTACACAAAGCGGAGTATGACGCTACAGCCCTTAAACCCCAAAAAACCTAAACCCTGCAAGGCCCGTAAGCCCGAAGCTGCAGACCCCCATCCTACAAGGTAGGGTCATTTTTTCTTTAGGGCAGTCTTTGGGTTGAGGGTTTAGGGGGCATTCTGGGTGCCAGCTTTTTGACAAAGTCAGACGACTGCTGCATAACTAGGATACCCAGTAACCTAAGAATAAAAAGGCCTCTCTTTTTGGTATTGGGTAACTTTATAAGGAGCCTAGGACTACAAGAAGGGAATAAGGGTACTACCGGGCATCCTAGATAATCAAGTTGTTCGTCTCGTGGCTTATCGAAGGCTCTCTTCCAGTATTTTTTCGGACCTGGAGTTGAAGCTGCAGGATTTACGCCTGATGCGGGTGGTTGTCAAAATTCTGGTCCCTTTTGGGGGACCCTGAATATTCGGTGCCGTACTATTATATGGACCCCAAAAGGGATCATAATTTTGACAAGCACCCATGCACCTTCCAAGACCATCACCAACTCTTTGGTTGGCCCCCGTAGTAAGCCCGGCCCTACTATACTCCATTCCCCCGAGAAGGTAAGCAAGAATAGTTGGGTTGGATACCCCTCTTTGAGGAAACCATGGTCGAAAACGACAGCCAGATACCCGAAAGCCCTAAACCCTAAACACTGTACTCTAAACACGCAGAGTGTGTACAAATTACCGAGTCTTTCCAATAAGCATTAAGGCGTCTAGTGTAGGAGCTTCAATAGTTAGAATAGGACTCCTTTAAGCATCATTTCATGGTTCTGCGGGGCTCTAGTGTTTTATGAGTCTTCATCATTCTAATTGGGTGTCGGGGTATGACGGTATGCTTATATGAAGGAACACTAATAATGGGATTAATGCTGGCAATCATTCAGGCCACTATCCTATCTTAACCCTTCTGCAGAAAACAACGTTGCACATACTTTCTACCCCGAACCCCTCAACCCAGAACCTAAACGGTGCCTGCAATCTTATGCAATTTCGGAAGACCCCAAACTCTCATTCTGGGAAACGCTGAAGCCTTGAAACCCCAAACCCTATCGGGTAGGCCTTGCGATTCCTTTCGGGTTCCTAGTATATGGGAGTTTCAGAAAATTAGGGGTAGCTGATTTTGGGGTCCTTACAATAAGGATCCTACTATTTGGGGTCCTGTTTTAGGGTCCTCTATTTTCGGAAACTCCCATATGTCAGTTTGAGCAACTTGAGCAGGGTTGGCTGTTGCTGCTGCGCTTTCGTCCAGGGGCCCTAAATTAAACCCGAACCTTCAACTGGGCTCTTGTTCAGGGATTTAAGTTAAGTTACCATAATCAGGAAACCAGATTATTTACTATAGATCCCCGCTGAAATAGCTTGTTCAGGGATTCAAGTTACCATAATCAGGAGACCATATTGTTTACTATAGATCCCCATCATGGTAGCTGAAATAGCAGAGAGGGGCAGGCCGCGCCTGAGCGCGGTAGGGACGCGAATCACCCTTTTCTGATGCTCCTCCCGTCGCAAGCTCTCTTCCAACTGTCACTATACCCTAAACCATAAACCCCTAAACCCTGATTCTAATGTAGTGGGGTCAGCTGGTTCCGGGGGTTAGCATGGCCTCTGATCATGGGGCTTACACAGACACCGGAGCTGAAGGCAAAGTCTCAGAGTGAGGAGGGATGATTCTGCATTCGGATTTGCCTTTGTGCTTCAAAGGAACTATACTGAACTTAGAACCCTAGCAAAAATTGAAATTTTAGCTGTTTCTTAAGGATTATAGCAACCAAAAATTAAAAAGTATTTCTAAGTCCCCCTAAGGGAAATCGTCATAGAACAACACGCAAGATAGATAGACAGACTGCAGGGCTTTTGGGGTCAGGGGTTGCGGGAGAATCATAGTCGAATGCAGAAGTCTCAAAGAATCGGTCGCGTGGAACCCCTATCAGGCTAACAGTACTATGCCAGATTTCCAAACCGGAATCTCTTCATTATGGGCTAGACTAGTCTTCTTCTTGAAAGGACCTCTGTCATGTGAACAAGTGCTTAGGCTCTTTGCTAGTATCCCGCATCCCCATAGCAACCGCCAGAGAATACACTCACCAAAAGCACGAACATACCTCCTACCTCATACAGGGAACTCCAGAAAGTTGGAATATGGTTTCATGGTAGGATAACCTATCATTTACCATAGAAGGGTTAGGATAATCATATTCCAACTTTCTGGCTTTCACCTTACGGATATCCGTAGACCCTAAACTCTGGATCGGATTGGGGACAGTAGGGCTTTGGGATAGCAGAAACGGTTTAGGGTTTAGGGTTTAGGGTTTGGGGTTTAGGGTTTAGGGTTTGCAAGTGCCAACATAAAGTTTGGACTTGTGCTGCAGAACTCACGGAGTGCTCTCTGCAGCTGTGTGACCATCCAAGAGACGCTAGCCTGATTAGACCGGGGAAATCGCTGCTGTGCCGCGATAAAAGAAGGTCTGTCATTGACAAGCGGATCTGCGAAGGTGCAAGTGACTTGAGCCCCTTTCGGCGACTACCAATCAATCCCGCTTGCATGGTAGCGGAGCTACGGCTCCAAGTCTGTGCGATCCGGGGACCTAATTGACAGACTGACCCTGCGCGGCCGGGTCAGAATGACGAGCGGGCAAGGCGGCCGCTCGAAAGAGGGTGTACCCACATGGGATGGAAGTGCGAGCTCTTTCCAAGCGTATGAAGAACAAGTGCTCATGTGGGAACAAGGAATCAAGTATGAGAATCGCTACCTTTGCGGTCCACGTCTCGCTGGCGAGTTAACTGGCGCTGCTCAACGAATGATTGTGGGCAAGGATCCTACATGGGTATCATTCAATGGCGGTGTGGCAGTTTTTCTTCGGCACCTTCGGGAAAGCCTGGGGAAGCCTCAGATGCCTGAGGCCACGGAGTTCCTGAACAAGTACTTCCGCAACAGCCGACGACGAGTGGGCGAAGGCATCAATGACTACATCACGAGGAAGACGGAGACTTACTGGAGGGCATGCCAAGCACTCCGGCGAGTGATGCCAAAGCCCCGACAGGCCACCAAGGAATCCACCTATGCCCAGGGCTTCTACCCGACATGGAACAGCCGGAGATCCAGCTGGACATCGGAGGCCTCCCAGGCTGAGGCAGCTGATGACCATGATGCCGCTGACAATGATCAGGGTGATGATGGATACACGGATGGCACCTGGACCCGTGCATCTACGACCAGGTCCTCATGGGACTGGACGTCGTACTCCAGCTGGAATGCCTATCCCAGCTACTACTCCAACTGGTCTTGGCGCAGGTGGCCTCAGGAGAACCACGAGGCCACAGACACCCAGATGGAGATCCTCCCCGAGTTCGTCCAGGCGTGGTACTTGCTGGCCGATGCCGGTCTCACGAGTCAGGAGCGGAACCTGATTCACACCGCAGTGGCCGGAGAGTATACTCTGGCTCGGGTTTCCACCGAGCTACGAGCCCAGCACGGAGAAAGTGACCACCGGAGGAAGGACCACTCGGGCCAGGCCTACATCGGCGAGGAGCTCGGCGATGACGACTACGAGAACGACGAGGAGAATGCCGGTTTCGAGGGTGCGAGTCCGGACGGCCTCACCGAGGAAGGAGAAGCCTTGTGGGCCGAGAATCAAGAGGAGATTGAGTCGGCCTGTGCTGTGTTGCGTGAGGCCAAGCGCACACTTCGGGCTGCTCGCGACCGCCAACATCAGGTGAAGATGGCACGCCGTTACTATCAACCTCGTGGCCAAGGATCTGGCTCACGACCCCAGAATGACTCTGGGATGACCTGCCTCAAATGTGGCAAACAGGGCCATCGTGCACGGAACTGTCCCGATGATCAAGTCAAGGGAGACAGTGTGCCGGGCGCGAAGCAAAGCGCTCCTTTCGTCTGCTACGCTGAGACCCAGGAGGAAGCCTTGACAGCAGGACCGACTACTCAGGAGGCTGTCCTGACGGGACACTGCGTGATTGACGGCGGGGCCACGAGAACTCTGGGCTCCGTGAAGGCGCTTGAGCGGGTGTTCCAGAAGAACATGGAAAAGTACGGCGAGGATAGAGTGCAACATGTGGATCTCGAGGACCGTCCGGTGTTTGGCTTCGGCAACTCAACGGAAGGCCGCTGTGTCTCAACGCTGCATCTTGGCATCCAGGCCTCCGGCAAGAATGGCCAGATCGTGGTGCACGCCCTCGACGAGGGCGAGGGCCCGGTGCTGTTCTCGATTGACGCGCTCCGGAAGTTGGATGCTCTGATTGACTTTAGGCGAGACTTAGCAGTGTTTAGAGCACTCGACCCTTGTAAAGTGATTCAGTTGCAGCGGTCGCAAACCGGCCATCAGCTCTTGGATTTGACAGCAGATTTCTATGCAAATGCGAAGGGAACGACAAGGCCTGTTCCCCCTCTCGATGAGTTTCTGTAGGGACAGCTCCTCCCGGATGACGTTCCTGGCGTCAAAAGGGAGGTCCGCATGTACAGTCCAGGAAGTGTTAGTGCAACATGTCAGAGTCCTCATTTGAGAGATGGTGATGATAGTGTTAATGAAGCTCACATTTCTGATTGCAGAGGCACAGCTCAACA